AAATAATTTTGCAGATTATTGTATATGGCCTTGTACAAACAAATCATTCAACACATACAGCAGCTAGTAGCACTTGCACAAACCTCCAGACAAAACAACTGTAATATGCTTCATGTAAGGTTATTTTTGAGGATAATGCAAAAAAAAAAAAAAAGGTACAAAATACAATAACCTAGACATGGACGAGAGCCAGAAAGCAAAAAGACTTAACACATGATTCAGCTTTAATTCATTTGCACTGACTACTAGTTTGGAACCAGGTGATCTCAGGAACCAACTTGATTCTTATAAATTTGTTGGAATGACAAGATTAACCTCAAGGATTGTTCTTGAAGTTCGAGGTCAGAGGATTGGCCTGCACTAAAGACAGGCTCTTATCAGTGATGGTGATGAGTTTTTGCAACACTTGTTTATTAAGACTGCTCCTTTTATTGTAGAAATTAGGTGGGCCTTAAATAATATCTTCACAGTTCATTTTACATAGTAATTTTGTAAATCTGTTCTAATGTGGTCATCTTTAAATTGGTCTTTGTCAGCCATTTATTTTTGTTCAATATTGTAGAAGAGCACAGCTTTAATAACAGTTGAAAAACCTGCAACAGTTGAACAGTTGTTCAATTTGGATGTATCAGTAGTCTATATGTATAATAATGGTACATATTCATGTTTGTGAGCAGCTTAATTATATGTTCTATGAAGTAACGATGTATATAAGAGTGAAAAGACAGGAACTGAAATATGCTGCAAGTCACATCTGCAAACATACACAAATCTCCACTTGCACACAAATCCTTTAACAACTCATATCAGTCCAACTGAAGAACTGCATTTTAGTCTATGAAGCTGGATCTCATCCCCTTCCCATTTTAAATCCACATTTCTTCCCACCTCTCCCTCACTTTCTACACTTTCTACCATTGCTCTCTGTGATTCCTCAGTCTTTTACCTCTGTCTCCTTTATTTATTCATCTAACAGAGGAAGAAAGAGTGGCTGTGCAGTTGTTTCACATTCACTCAGACAGACAAAAGCAGGAACTCAGTATGAAAAACAAGAGGTGATTCTCCTGCTTGAGCAAACCAGCTGAAATGATAAATGCTTTTTCTGTTGTTACCAAGAGGCCGGTCTTTTGCAACGTGGGGGCCTCTGAAAGACCAGCTTCCTAATTCCCAGCAGTGTGGCAGCTACGGGAATTGGAAGGGCAACATCTTTGGAGGCTCAGAGAAGACTACCATTTGCCAAGGCTCCTGTGTGCTCTAATCTTACAGTATTACTACTGGCTTATGCATAAGAAATAAGCCCTCGACTCTGCTCTGATTTCCTCATGAGAGAAACAGCATTGCGTCCACCAGACATAAATGAAATAAACGAAATACGCCTCCTCCCTTTGTCAGGACAGGAAAACGAAGGACTCCGGAGCCTCGCCGGACCTCTACTATCAATTTCCTCATAACCCACCCCTGGCTTTTACCTCGGCCAACCCTTGCGGCTCGCGCCCCCCTCCTATCAGCCACCGCAGCATTGCGAGAGGCGGAGTCCGGGCGCCGGGGATGACGGTCTTCGCGTCTCAGGTTCAAATGGCGGTAGATGTCAGGCGCAGCTTGCGTCTGTCCACTAACGCGGAAGACTTGTCCCTCGCCGCTCGTCGTACTCGCGAGGGGCGGAGTGGGGCGGGGGAGTCGGCGACGGAGCCTCCGGTAGTGGAATTAGGCTTGAAAGTACGACTAGCCGCGCGAGGAAATTCAGGAAATGCCTCCGCGACTAATCAATCCCCGAATCTTCCATGAGGTAGAAACTCTGCGTTTCCCTAAGCCCCTTCAGGACTCCTGGCTGCTAAACTAGACCCAAGTTTGGGAATACCGAGTGATCGATCGCTCCCCTGTTTCTTTAAACGTGCCAATGGGCATCCTGGCAATCTTAATATATGAGCCTGGTGCCCTCCAGGGATATGGGTTTTCAATTCCTGGAACTGGCCAGGAATTGAGGGAGCTGAAGTTGAAATATTCCCAGGTGAGCAAACTCAGGGAGGCAGTGAAGGACAGGAAGGCCTGGCGCAATATGGTTCATGGGGTCACGAAGAGTCGGACACGACTTAACGACTAAACAACAACAACAACAAGAGGAGGTTGGGTGCTTTTATAGTGGCAGTCTCAATTTTCAGCAGTTGCATGACAGGCAGAAAATCAACAGGAGCAGCTTTTATCCTCAGCTGTAAGTGGGAAAATGGCCACCCAGCAAAAGCGTTTGTTTCCTAATTATCATGGTGTTTTTAACATGGAAAAGAGTCAACAACTATTGGAGTTGCAGTTCAGCACAAAATCCGGAGGACCACCTATTGCCATCTCTGTCTTAAACCAGTCTTAAACAGGTGGTTATTCTAAGTTCAGTCTTCAGCTTTTTAAAATAAAGAAAATAAAAGTTATATAATATTAAAATTAAGTACTATTATATTGGTTATTGGAGAAGTGGAAACATATTGAATGGAGAATAGTCCTACATTATTCCAAAAAGTCTGATAAGATCATGGGTTGTCGAGTTCAAGAATTAATATATCCCCACCCTGTGCCATTAATCATAAGAACCCCAACACCTTAAGGTTGGCCTTAGACAGGGTAACCAGATGTCCCAGGGTGGAATGTGGTGTCCTGAAGGGTTTTTTCCTACAATGACTGCAGAAACTGATTCACTGATAAGTAGGTTATTTCCAGGCACAGTCCAAATGTCAGAATCTGTCAGAAGTCACCTTTCCTTCTTGCATTCAAGTAGGTTGTGAAAACCTTTATTTTACAATTACCTTTCTGCTCCAGATAATTAGTCCATGAGGCTTCCTCCAAGCATATATATTTTTGTTTAATCTTTAATTAAATATTATTGTATTATAATATTCTGTTTTTACAACAGTTTTAAAACTGTTTTTACAGTTGTTGTACACTGCCAAGAGTCATAAGATTGGACTGTTAACAAATACAGGAAATAAAGAAATAAAATAAATCTACTGAAACTGCTCCGGCTCCCTATCTTAGATAGATACCTAACTATCTTGGGTAGTTGTTAGGTAGTTGTCATGGACAAAGATCATCCTGTAGTGATGACTGAAATGCAGAATTTCCTCTCCAGACATTGCACTAAATATTTTATGTTACTTGCATGACAAATAAACCCTGTGAGGTTTACTGATTATGATCAAATTGTTCAGTGCTACTTACAATTTTCAAGTCTAAACCAGGAAAAGTGTATAGTATTGCACCAAAACCTGTAGTAAGCCTGCCCAGCAGAAAGCCTACAGAATCAATAGTGATTCTGTCCATTTTTATGGCTGCAAGAGAGTTCCATAAGTCTGCTATTTTAGGCTCTTGCTCACTTCGAGCAGTCACTAAACAAATGGTTATTAAGTGAGGACTACCTGTAGGTAATTTCTGAAAGTGATTAGAAAGTGAGTTAGTGAACCCAGTGTCTTTTCAAAGGGGCTGCTGTGGTTCAGAGTCCAATGGCTTCCCTTTGTCTCCTGGAGCTCAAACCCACGGGAAACTACTATCCTGCAGTCTCCTCACAAGGAGCAGCTGTCTGAAGTACAAGTGAGTGATCTCCTGTCCTCTCCTTATCCAGAGATGCTCTGCTGGACCAATCTACTCACCAATCCTTCGGTCGTAGCTGTGGCATTGACTCAGTTCATTTGCAGATATTTCTCACCGGAAGTCCCGGTTTTACTATAACGTTTGAAGGGGAGATTCATTCACATCAGTGGGCATTGTAAAAATCTCTTTTGAATGCTTTGCACAGCCCTAACACTTACTGTACATCCCAGCTGAGCTACTGTAACACACTCTATATGAAACTGCCTTTGAAAAAACGGAAACTCGCCAAGATGTCAAAATGGAAAAGTAGCAAAGACAAGCATTGACCAATACCTATTATTCCTAAACTCTCTGTTGTCATTAGGATTGTCTCTCTCATCTATGGTAGTATCTGCAGGAAGTGATTGCTACTTCATTATGCAGGCAAGGTGATGACAAAATATCAGATTCCTACAAGTGATTTAAGGTGCATTTCCTTCACAAAAGAAAGGAAACCTGTAAATGTTCTTAGGTGTTATTTTAAAAGATTGTTTTAAAAATATACCTTCTATAAAAGGGAACATACCTTTTGTTTCAGAGATAGGATTATTCCCAAAGTTACTCTATCTATTGTTAGCCCCTTCTTGCAATAATCCAACTTCTCCCAATCCAATGTTCTTCCCCTTCTCCAAGTTCTATTAATGTATTCTGCAATAGCCCTAATTTTTGAAGGAAGGGTCAGATGCTAGTCAACTGAATATTAATGATTCTGCTTTTTGTAAAAATCTTGTAGAATTTATCCATATCATAGATCTGCTTATATTATTCTCAGAACAAATTTAGCAATGTTTTTTTATCCGCACTAGAGGGTGGAATGGAAATGGGCTGTTGACATTTTGAACTGATGTGCTACATTTCTCTGCATGTGCTCTAAAGTCATGCTGCACTTGCCCACCCCCACCCCACTACTGGAGATTTATTTTGGAAATTGTCATACAATCAGAGGTATTCTGTCTTGATTTTTTAAATTTTTAATATTTTTTAAATTTTAATATATTAAGTAGGCATCCCTTAGCAAAGTATCAATTGGCTAAGGCACAATCAAGTGCATTGTACAAAGCAGCAGAAGGAACTGAAACATCCCCTGTGTTTAAAGAAAATTACTACTGATAGGAGAGCTCTTAATGCAAATTAGCTATAAGGAGCTTTTACTAGTACAAGTCTTGGTGAGTTAATTGAACCTTTCTTTTTGGTCACCATGTTTGTATTCTAAGAAGCAGTTGTAGATTGCTTAATGAGAGCCAAGAGACATGCTGTAGCTTTTCATTCATCGTTACAGAATTTCTGATGAGTGTTTTGGTGATGACACAAATGTTTTGCATATTATCCGCAGTGCCTCATTCCAAGACAGGCTTTTTAGTAAATGGTTTATTGGTGTAACTGCACATAGTCAACGATGAGAAATAAAACAGATTTACCATCTATCCTGTATAAACATTGCATTTTATTTTCTCATCATGCTCCTTGTAAAACAATGATTAATAATAGGAGACCATTTGCATATTCATATGCAGTGTGAATAAATGGAGTCCACAGCAAATTACTTCAGTTGTCAGGGATGCTGTTGGATCAGGACCTCCTGCGTCACATGCCAGAACAGAGCTGCTGTGATATGACTATGAACCCCCAGGTGGCATTATAGCCTTGTTTTTTCATGTGTTCGTTTTTGTACTGGAGGACTCTTCTACTTTGATTTAGGCATATTTTTTTCCTTTCCAATTCCTCATGATACGTTTGAACAAATGAACTAGTCACACTTTCTTCTGTTTACTTTTAAAGAGTCCAGTTTGTAGGCATCCTGGTGCTCCTGTGCAATGGTTGTGAACTCATCCATGAGAGCAGAAATCATGTCCTTAATGGCATTCAGCAAATTAACGTCTACAGCATAATGAGATCTTGCAGCCACTCTTCAGTAGAAAGCTCCACTCAGATTTTAAAGATCATAACTGTGGTCAGATTAGTTACATTTCAACAGCTTTATGTGAAAAGTGTGAATTCAATTATAACTAAAGTTTTATTATGCACAAATATTAAAGTGATGCTGTGGTATGACAGAATTTGGGATGGGATTACTGTCATATTGGTCAACTGGATGTTGAAGGCTCAGGTTAACTAGCAGTTTTATTATGGCAATTCATATTGTCATGGGAAATGCAGGTTCTTTTAAAAGGAAAACTTGTCTCTTTATTATTCTCTGCTAACTTCTTCCAGGCTGATGGGAGACTCACTGATTTTCATCTAGAAGTTCTTAATTTCAATATCTGTTACTTCCAGTCAAAGAAGATTTTTGCTAATAGTACTAGGAAAAAAACCCTCTACCAAGAGCATAGAAATTTGGTGCTGCTGGGGGACTTTTGGGGAAGAAATGGCAGATTGAAGACAGCTCTGTGGAAAGTGGAGCCGACAACCACAGTGGAATGAAGAGCCAGCAAGTAGACCAGCTTTTCGATAATTCCTCTCTGGACAAGGAGAGGACTTGAGATTGCCCATAAGTGCTCCAGATAGTTGCTCCTCATGAGGAGACCACAAGACAGCAGTCTCTGGTGGGTTTAGAGCTCTAGGAGATAAGGGAATGGCCATGTTGCTCAAACTGCAGTCAGCGCCTTTGAAAGGACACTGGGTTCACATACTTCCTTTTCTAATCACTTTGGGAAACTACCTGTTAACTGCTTTTCAGGTATTAGGAACCCTAACCTTTTTCTATCTTTCCATGTTAGTAAAGGAGGTGATAAGTACTAAAATTGTTTATACTTTTTGTGATGAAGGGGGAAGTCATTTCTTTATATTTTTTTCTTTTTCTGTACTATATTCTTATTTTTTTTTCTATTTTTCTTTCTTTTTCTTTTCTTTTCTGCATCTTCTTTTTCTTTTTATTCTTTTTTTAGTTTGTATTAGTTTTATTCTTGTAATTGTAATTTTTAATACAAGTACTATAAAAAGAAATTTGGTGCTGCTAGTCGGAACAGGGAGTGCTGCTAATCTATATGGATCAGTGAGTTGATTCAGTTACGGGTTTGCACATTGCACTAAGCTATAATGCATCTTATTTTAGTTTTAGCTTAGCATGTTGAGTGAACTCAGCCAATTCTTTCATTATTTAATATACACTTGATTAAGCAAATCATGATTTACAATCACGTGTCAAATCAGCCAATGAAATACTTGAATTC